AAGATATATTTTTCTCGCTTTTGCCATGTTTCGAAAATTAATTTTGCATATCAAAAACATTTTTGCATAGAACTAAAAATAAACATGTTTAACACAAATACACATGTTGTAATGTAACGTTTTTTATGATAAAAATAAATTAATTTTCAAGGACAAAAAGTGCTTTAATGATCAAACTCTCAAGTTTGATCGAAATTAGTTAAAAAGTTAAAGATATAAAAAATCAAAATCAGGTTTCAGCTTTTATTTCTCAACTTTTAATTTTATTAAAAAAATTAACTCTTATTATCACCTCCACGAACCATTTATATTGAGTCCTAGAACGTGAAGATCCTATAATTATATCAAAAGTTATTCTGGATGGTCTGTTTAATTTTTGAAAACTGTAATAAGTCCAGTAATGACCATAAGTAATAAAGGACCGTAAATTCAGTGTCTCATGCTTCAATTTCCTTAAGCATTTCACTTTCCGTCATGGAAATTTTTATTTAAAAAATTACTTTTAATAAATTTGAAATCGTGCTTATTTTAATTCTTTCATAACTGATCATATTTAATAAATAAATTTTTTCACGCTATCGATTCATTCTATTCTTCATCATGCATTTTCATATTTAAAATCATGCTAATTTTAATTCTTTCATTACTGATCATATCTAATAAATGAAATTTCTCTCGCTTCTGATTCATTCCATTCTTCATTATGCATTTACGGATTTGAAATCATGCTTATTTTAATTCTTTCATTACTGATCATATCTAATAAATAAAATGTCTCATGCTTCATTCCATTCTTCATTATGCATTTACAGATGCGAAATCATGCTTATTTTAATTCTTTCATTACTGATCATATCTAATAAATAAAATGTCTCAGGCTTCATTCCATTCTTCATTATGCATTTACAGATTTGAAATCATGCTTATTTTAATTCTTTCATTACTGATCATATCTAATAAATAAAACGTCTCATGCTTCTGATTCATTCTATTCTTCATTATGCATTTACAGATTTGAAATCATGCTTATTTTAATTCTTTCATTACTGATCATATCTAATAAATAAAATGTCTCATGCTTCATTCCATTCTTCATTATGAATTTACAGATTTGAAATCATGCTTATTTTAATTCTTTCATTACTGATCATATCTAATAAATGCAATTTCTCTTGCTTCTGATTCATTCCATTCTTCATTATGCATTTGCAGATTTGAAATCATGCTTATTTTAGTTCTTTTATTACTGATCATATCTGATAAATTAAGGTAGTTATTTTTCATGAAATGTAAATTGGGCAAATTTTAATTTTTCCAATACTGGTCATACGTAATTAATAGAGTGTCTCATGCTTTTGATGCCTTATTCATTCCATTTTGCATCACGTGATTTTTTTTTTAATTTTAAATATCATATTATGTAATTTTGGAATCATGCTTATTTTAATTCCTCCATTAGTGATCATTCGTAATGAAAAAAATGGCTTATTTTTCTCATGTGTTATGCATTTTACCCACAATTTTGGATTTTTATTTTAAACATTATCTTTTGTAGAGTTAAAGGCATGATTTTTATAACTCTTCCATTTCTGATCATAAGTAATTAAAAGAAGTTTTAAGCTCCTGATGCATTTGTGCATTTTATTCCACACCATGCATTTATTTTTTTAAAATTATCGTTAATAGAAACGAGAGAATACTTTTGAAATATGTAACTATATTGATTTTTCTACTATTAATTATGCTACGGTTATTTTTATTCAACGTAAATGATTTAAATTAATTTAATTTGAACTTTCTGTATGCCATGAAAATACCAGTTGTATATCCTCTAGTAGCTTGTCATAGGCTCGTCAACTCTCTAATACAGTGTTTCCCAAACTTGTGACTTTTGTGTACCCTTTCTAAATTTGTCGTAACGCTGTGTAACACTCATAAAAAAATGAGTGCATTTTCTACTATAAAAAAATTGCACAAAAGTTAAAAATCACAACTGGCTGTTGACACCACGTATTATTAAATGTTAACTCTGCAAAAAATAGCCAATAAAAAAATACGTAATCGTAAATTTTCATGGCTAGCTTTGTTTCTAAATTTTTTTTTGAAATTTTCGTTTGTTGCAAGATATTTCGAATAAGAATGCGTACCCTCGCTAAACTGTTTCCGTACCCCTGGGGGTACGCGTACCACACTTTGGGAAACACTGCTCTAATAGATTAAGCTTACACTAATTCCAACATTTTAGCAGAAAATTGGAAATAACAAGCTCAGGAAAACCATTGCATTACATTTGCCATAGTAATAACCCCTTAATTGACTTATTTAGTTTGGTTAACCGTCTTGGTAAATTTGTATTCTCAATTTAAATCACGTTAAATTTAGTAATTAAATTAGCATTCTGAGTCCTTAATAAGAAGTTAGTTATAAGGTGATATGTTTTGCAGGATTGAGAACTTCCAAAATGCTCCATAATCTAGATATTTAAAATTTTTCGAATAACGAGTACTTACAAATGTAACGTAATATATATTAAAAGTAATTCCATAATTTTAAAGAAAACTATATCTTACCGAGCATCCAACAGATAATATGATTGATAAGGCTAGCAAAGTGGTGTAAGACATCGCGTGGTTTATGTTTACTTTTTTTTCTCCAACAAGGACTTTATTTTTGAAAGCTTAAATTATATTTCAAAGCTTTTAAAGCGGATTTCGATTACGCAAATGATGTAATTTTTATTCAACTGTTTGCAGTGATTCTGACTAACGTTTTATAATTCGTGACCAAAAAAAACGAAGGATTTTGATAAAAGGAAAATTATCTTTCTCTTTAAGTTATAAAATCGAAACATACCATAAGTTGCATTCTTGAATTGTATAATTTCGTTCGGTACTACAATCGAATGCAAATATTCTTACAGTAGTAGGAGGCATCCTTCACTACGTGGAACGTGAATTTTTTGTGGTCTTCTTGAAAATTACGCTATCACGACAATGGTTAGTGCGACGGAACGTGAAAGTTAATTTTTATATATATATATATATATATATATGAATATANTACTTTAAGTTCGCTCGGATTGAATACGAAGTAATGGAGAAAAAAATATGAAAAATATATTTAATAAAAATTCTGCGTAACTCATGGTCATTTATAATGCCACTTATAATGTCTTATAATCTTATTCAACTTAATAAAGGTATATGAAACATGTCTATAAAATTCTAAAAATTTGGTTATGTATTTTTTTCTATGCACCTTTGCACATTACAAACTACTTCCAAATCCAAATAAATGGCGTACTCTTGTCACCGATATTACAGAAACCGGAAACGAAAAGCACACTTAGCTCATAGTTCAAGATTTAAGTTAAATCTAGTTACTAAAATTCATATGTCGAAATTTATATCTGCATCCTTTCAATAAGAAAGTTTCACACTTTTAACATACTTTCCTTCCTAATCAGTTTCTTCATTTTTTCATCGTTTCAACTAATCATATTTTTTCGGCCTTAGATAAACGCTTTCTAATCTGGCAAAATTTGTACGTTCACCTGACACTGAAATCTCTTCATTATGTCTTAGGCTATATATTCAACAAAACATCTGTAACTGATCTAAAATACGGTTCTGCGTCGATTTGTCACGCACAGTTTGCTGTGCGATAATTCGTAGTATGAACAATTCGTCCCAACGACAGTTCGTAATGGACATAATTCATCGCACAAGCCATTCGTCTTAGGCATAGTTTCAGTGAGCATAGTTTCGTGAGGTTTCCATGGAATATACACTGCCCTACAATAATGGAAGAGACACATTCAGCTTTTAAATTTTTTTAAATTTCTCAAGAAATACTTGCAGGATTATCACGTAAATTTAGAGGCAATTATTCCATGCAATTTTTCATACTTAGCAATAAGTAATAAAGCGTATGAAAAAAAAGCATAACTAATGAAAGAAAAATGTATTTTTGAACACCCTATGCGACAAAATCAAGCAATAAGCTTCTAACTTATATCAATTATTTTAGTTGTTATTTGCAATAACTGCAAAAAATTTCATAAACCTGTATGAAATATTAATGGAAATATGGAAATTTAAAAAAAAACTAATTCTTTTGTCTTACGTTTTTCTTTTTACTATAATTTTAAAAATATTCAATAAAAATAAATAAAATTTTTGGAGCAGTAAAAAAGTAATGCTAAAATTATTGTTTTAAAAATTGAAAAAAAATTCGTTAAAAATTGCGCGTAATATGATAATTTAAATTTGCTTCTATATTGCGCGTGAGCAGAAAAAGTTTAGAATTTTCAACCTATATTGAACGATTAGTCCTCTTAGTTACAATACATTTCCAGCTGCACGAAACAAAATTGCTTTTCATAAGGTAGGCCTAGATGGTACGGATAGAATTCTGGTTGCTGAACCCTATTTGGTAAATATAATCAATAAACTTTTTTTCTGACACTTAGCAGTTTGAATATTATATTTTATATGATTATTTAACTGTTTTGGTTGAAAATGGTTAAATATCAATTAAATCAACTGCTATTTAATCATTTTTACCGAGAAATTTCTAACAGCGTAAGTTGGAAAAAATTACTGATGTGACTTAGCAATATTTAAATTATGATGTAATTGGGTTATAGAATGTTGAAATATCAATTAGTCTTTCTTTTGATTTTACTATTTAAAGAGCTTCATGTGCATAAGATAATATAGAAGCATTATGCAATTTCAATTAGAACTGCGATAGCATACCTGCAGAGATAGAAGTTTTGAAAAACACTATATGAATTCAATTCGGATTTTTAAATACTATATTTATGTTTATAAATTGTGTTCGATTGTTTTTGATTCATAAGAGTGTTGAAAATATAAGAATATAAAAATAACAAAATAATACAATATTTATTAACATTGAAATTTTACAATACCTTATAAAATAAAATACTATTTTAATTGAAGTTTCATCTAACAAGCAATAATAAACAACTTTTAATAACACAATCAAAATAACAATTATACAATTTTCTGGAAACATTAGTAACTTTGAATAATATTTTTTCATTGAGTAAATACGAGATGTGTATTTTCTATCTTAAAGGAAAACCCATCTTCTTTACAAATTCTTTTTGCGTTAACTAAAAGAATCTTTTTAACGCGAGAACAGTAAAAAAACAATTAAAATTACATTTTATACATTATTGAGGTTTCTTCCTCGGTTGACATGTCGAAACTGCAAGAAATGGTTTCTGAAAATAAAATAAACAAAGAAAATAATTTATATTAAATACATATTATAAAAGATAAAGACATAATAAGAAATAAATAAATAAAGTAATATTACAAAATCTATGCAATATATTATGTTTTAAGTACCGAAAACTTTTCTTGTCAACTGGTCCAGTGGTCTCTTCTACATTATGCTCATTATAATATGCTACGAGAAAAAAGTATGGTCTAAACTACCAGAATAGGCGAAAATTTACCGTGTTTTAGGCTTTTTGGCAAGACCAAACAGCTGGGTATTTTTTTACCGAAAAGTGTTAGTAATGAGTTTGGTAAAATTAGTAACAAAATATGATTTTATATTAGTAACAAAATATCGTTTTATGGTAAAGTGATAAAATTTAGTAATTCTATTAGGATACCTTAGAGCAGAGGTCGCCAAAGTGGTCTATATAGACCCCCAGTGGTCTATTTAACATAAGTGGGTGTCGATCTGAACCAGGGGGTCGAATGGGGGTCGATCCGAACCGGAAGGGTCGATTGGTCGAAGGATTATCAGTATTTTTCAGATGTGTGGCAATTAGAAATAGAAGAAGAAGACTTGGAAATAAATACAGGTAATCTTCAAAAATTGAGCGACGATTTTAAACTGCGTTTTGTTGATTTGGAAAACATTGACATCCCTGATTGGATTATTGTGCCATTTTCTGCTCAAATTGAAAACGTGGACATCAACCAGCAAGATGAGCTTGCTGAATTATTATGGGGATTTGAAGCAAAGACGCTTTTTAAAAATTTAACAATAAGCAAATTTTGGACAAATATAAATATAATGCAAAAATATGTAAGACTTTACGAAATAGNTCAATGAAGATAGTCCCAGAAAGTTCCCACCGTCAGAGTGGCGAGATACTTTTAGCGAATCAAAACCTTTAAATTTTATAAATTGAATGACGTTTCATTGAGATAAGAAGATGCTTGCAACCACGCCCTCTCAGAATCTCACTTTAAAAGCTCAGGACAGGCAAAATTGCGTGTCTTTTTCATATTTTCAATGGCTAGATAAAGCTGGGCCAAAACCAAACAATCCCTGCAAAGGGGGAAACCTGATGTAAATATCCAACGCATAATGTTTGCAATACTCTATCTAACAAAATAAAATGCCTTTTTAACAGAAGCAGCCTAAATCTCTTCAATTATCTAGCCTTTAAAGACATAACATTACATATATATATATATGTATATATATAATAGAACTAAATCAGAATACTTACCAGCACAAAAGTTGAATCAGCATTAAATCTACAGACATTTTCTCTGACGCAAGGGCAAACGATTCTAAATCTGTCCCATTTCATTGTTGCATTGTGGAGTTGACTCCAACAAATTTTACCTTAAAGAAAAACTTGAAATCATCCATTGAGTGCTTTCAAAACACCACCCTGATATTACAAAATGTCCCGAAAAATATGAATACATTAAAATAAATCAAGAAGCACACATCGGTTAAGAAATCAAAATAAATGCGAGTAAATTAGTTTCTTAGATTGCGTTCAACGATTCTAAACTCTACCCTTAACCTCATTTCGAAAGCTATAATTTAAACAGGTATACATAATTTTTATAGCAGTTTTGTATATTTAAAAAAAGTTCCCTAATTTGACATGCAGGCATTCGCATTTTGTTTCACAGAGTGCAGTGTAATCGAGAAATTTTTCGTGTATTTTTAAATTTTTGATTCGTTGCGTGTTTCTGTGGAGAAATTTGACCATTGCTATGCATTTTTAGCACCCTATGTATGTTTCAGATGTTTATCTAATTCTGATATAGTAGGAACTAATAGCTCGTGGTCACAAAACATTCATTTACTAAAAAAAAATGGTTACCCATATTTTGACTCTGTAATTTTTGCCATTTTTTAATATATTCCTGTCAATTAAAATATTTAAAAAGCTCTAAAGAAATAATCTTCTGTGCAAAGCTGTTCCCAATATAACAATACACTATTAGAATTTTAACTCTGAAATTACGATAAATGACAGCAGCGGTCCTTCCTTCTGATTAACCATAAATTTTACGGTTAGGAACATTTTTTTTACCTACAAGGTTTTGAAACCGTTTACAACTGGTAAGATTAAGGAACCATGAATGCAAAACTATACAGTTGTGTGACTATTTACAATTAACATAGTTTCTAAACCATAAAAATGGAACTTAAACAGACTTTAGAGCTCTGTTGGGGCTGATGAAGCCTACTGAAAGATAATTTCGTATTCTAATAATCTTCAGTAATGCTTTAAAGACAGCAGGAAACTGAAAACTATTCATTTATTGAAGGAGAATCAGAGAAATATAGTGGAATCAAAGCTGGGATTCGAACCCATGTTCAGCGGGTCATAAGAATGGCTAATTAACCTTCACGGCTACAGTATGTACCCAGCTGCAAAAAAAACAAAAGGGCTTTATAAGGTGGGTCTAGTTGGCACAGATAGAATTTTGGCTGTTTAGCAGTATTAGGGGAAAAAACAAGGAATAAACGTTTTTTCTCACTCTTAAGAGTTTGATTATATTTTTATAGTTATTTGACTGTTTTAGTTGGATACGGTAATAAATATCAATTGAATAAATTACTGTTTAACCATTTTTGACAAGAAATTTCTAGCATTTTATTGAAGTTAGAATATGGAAAACCAAATAATCTTTAAGTTTTTTATGTTTTTATTTCTTGAAAAAAAATAAACATTATGAAAGCCTCCTCTATGTATTCAAGTGCAAAATTTGAGAATTATCTTTCTTCTATTTCATATTTCAGAGAGAATTGCGACTTAAAATCTATTGAGAAAGCTCATTAATCATAAATATGACACGAGATTGAGATATTTCAAAAATGAATTATTCTTACCAGAGAAATTGTAGTCGCCATTGTTTACAATAAATTCAAAACTCGTGCCAAAAGAACAAAACAATGACTTTATAATAAGTTTTGGATCTCAATTTCTTTAAAATGAGGAAATAAATAATGTATAATAAATTCTATGAGAAAAATTGAAAAGTATCACATATATTTCAACACCATAAGAAATAACATTATTTTCAATATATTTACTTTCTCTATGTTGTTTTAAAGAATTTTCTTAATTACATGTATATTACACAAACCTAATCTTTGTCACTTAAGGTCATAATATATCAAGGTCAGTAAAATTATTCTTTTATTATAATTTTATTTTTCATTAACACACTGCAGTGAAGTTAAACCTGTCAAATTGATCACCCTTATAAGATGATCACCTGTCAAAGTTGCCCTCTATAATAAAGAGCGGAATTCATCTTAAAGTATAAAATAAAAAAAATAAAAAATGCTAAGTCTTTGAGGCCTGACAACTTGTATTGTTAATATTTGAAATAAGACAAATTTGTCAAGAAATATTATTGAACACTGTTTTAAACTCTTCATACGTTTACCAGAGATAAAAAGAAGAAACGCTTTTCCAAAGTTTCTAAAAAGAAAAAAAAAATTCCTAAAGTTTCTCTGATATAGTAAAATAGTAACGAAAATTAACGTTAACCTCTCCTTATTAGAAATTACTGAGTGCTTTTACAATAAATAGGATTGTAATTTATGACAAAATAAATTTCAAATGTAATTTTGTTAGTAGTTCTTGAGAAATTAAGTTTTAAACAAACTTGTTTTTAAATTTGTTTATATATCTTACTACACATAATTTACAAGATATAATCGAACATAATAATAAACTATACTAGAAAATTATTTTAAAAGATTTTAATGAAATTTTCTCTTAAATAAACAAATTTTATAATTGTTTGCTAAAAATGCTCGATTTGTTTAAAAAATTTTCGAGATATGGTGAACTACACAAAAAGTAAAATTAACATTAAATGGACCATACTTTTGAACGCTCTCCTCACCAAACTTTGGGACCATATTTTCCATATCGTGGCTAGGATCCTTCTTATTTTCATGTATAAGAATCACGACGAGAAAGTTATTCAGAGAATGTTTTAAGGTAACCCAAATGAAAGAGACCAACTTGAATAAAAAGAATATCGTTAAGGTAGCAGATCTGTGCCTTTTTTCTGTACAGATTCCTCCACTTCGTCTTCCGAATGGAAATGTATTTCTTGTAATGCTCTCTTAAGTGACCCAAAGATGTGTAAGTCACAGGGTGACAAATCTGTACAGTACGGCGGGTGTTCAAACACTTCCCAACAAAAATTTTGTTAGGGCGGGCATTCTCATGGAGAAAAGTCATTTGCTGTGTAAGACGACCTGACCGTTTGCTTTTGATTCCCTTTCGTAGTTTCGTCAGACCACATCCGGTGCACACTTTCTTATACCCTTTTATTCCTTGCTCTTTTACTCTGCTATTACTGCCGTCATTCTGACACAATCACGCGTCTTTACTTTTCTTTTTGGCAACCATTATACGTTTTGGTGTCTAATTTCGTAACATATTTAAATTTAGGTCCACGAACTATTAAGATTGAGTCTTAGTACTTGAAAACCTACTCATTAAATAAGTTATTTAAGGTTTTCCCTTTTTGTTACAATGTACTTTTCTGACTTTTATGCCTATAATTAACTTTTATGTCGTGTATAAATGATAATGTGTTTTAGGCAAACTCAAAATTCGAGAAAACTCGTAAAATTGTAAGCACCTTACCTTCTCTAATTCTCGGGGCACAGAAAAATCTATCAGACCAGGGCTGTTGAAGACAACATTCGTCACGCATGCAGTCTCTGTTTTTGTTGCAAGCTCTCACCAACTAAAAAAAGAATTAAAGTTCATTTTTAACACCATAATGCTTTTCCTAAATTATTCCCCTGAAAAGGGAATTGCTTACACAAAGGTTAAGATAGTGTTAAGACTTTAAACGCGTTTTTTAACGTCATTTTTTCTCCAGTTCAATAAAATTGCTATATCATTGAATGTAAAATATTCCTTCAGAAATGCTTTTTTATGAAATTTTCTACCCTTTTATTAAATTTCGGATACATTAATTTTTAAAAAAAACATAAATTAGAAAATTGAAATTTTTATCTTCACAATTATAATTTTTTGAATAGTTGCAAAATCAAATATATTATATCCAAAGTTTTTTTAAGCAAAACAAAGAGTATCAAAAATTACTTTTTGTAATTTTCTTCGCTTTTTATTGTTAAAAAAATGCCATTTTTGGGACAGATATGCAATTATGTTTTAGTGATATTGAAAAAAAAACAACTCTGATATTTTTACATAAGTTAATATTATTTCCAAGAATCATCAAAAGTAGGTAATTCATTCCTAAAGTATTAACTTCAATATCTTACCGGAAAGTTCTTGAAATGGGTTTCATTTTAATGCGCAAAAATGTTTTAAATACCCTCTTAACCGCCAAAAACATTTCAACTTTCAATGCATAAATTCTGAGATCGGGAAATAAGAGGAGTAAAAAAAATAACACGTAACGTTAATAAGTAAAGTGTAAACATATAACATCAGATTAAGAATGATAAAAAGAAGTCGTTACTTTGAATTTGCAAGTCAAAGATTTGTCTGTAACATACACTGTAAGTGTTGATACATATAAAGTAATAATCTATGTCAATGCGAATAGTTGGTTATTATTAATATTAGACTATCTATATTAATAGCAACCAAATAACTGGTTATAGCGAATTATTTAAGTCAATTTATCACATTAACCGGTTATTATTACTAATAAATAATGAAGTGTGGTTAATGTCATTCTTTCGCGTTCTTATTGGGGATATTTCCGTATCGTGATCAGCCACGGCAATTACAATCGCCAAGTCGCCAAACTAATTTTGAACTACATATATTATTATATTATATTATACTAGGAGGCTTCGCCCCCTGCTCGCTCGCGCTCGCCAACCCCCGGAACTGCTTTCGCAGTTCATTTCGAAATTACTTCGCAATCCAATGCTCGCTTTGCTCGCGCATTGGATACGTTTTTAACGTCTAGCTTTTGTATACTTTTTTAAATACTGAAGTTCCGAAAACTTTTCACTGTAGAAAATTCTAAACCTGTACATTTCAATACTATCTGGGCATTTGGAGATACAACACTTATAGAATTGAAGGATTTGTTACATCAAGCACTCAGGTATCATAATTTTGATCTAGTTGCGCTTCTATGTCATTTTGATTTATGTTGCTAAGTTAACTTTCAAAAAATTCTATGGCTGGCAACAGCATTTTTNGAATAATATATATATATATATATATATAATATTTGGTCAATCCGGTCATTCGATTCGGTCAGCTTTTGTGATGTTTATTTTGTTGCTAGGACTCGGTGATTGTTATGCCATCGATCACAATGCGGAAATCTCCCTTTTTTTTCACTTTGACCAAAAGAAGGGGTAATTATTAATTTTGACAGGTTAGTATTAATAATAGCTTGATTTATCACCTTAACCGTAGCACTTATTCAAAGAGGCACACCCATGTCCCACTGCTATGTAAACCGTTCAATCGCATTGACCGGTTAAAGTGAGTAATAACCGGTTAAAGTAAATAATTAGCGAGAAGTCTCTTTTCGACCAAAAGAAAGGATTATTATTAATATTAACCAGTTAGTATTAATAATAACAGGACTTATTACTTTAACTGTAACATATAATAAAAAACACCTGACGCATAAACGAAGTTTTCTGCCAATCAAAACTGGACTGGAAATAGTAAGGATAATTGCTGTTATGCCATAACCAAGTTTTAATAAAAACGAATATAATGTAGTCGAGCTTTCTTTTAATTCCTTCGAAAAGGAAGATGACTTGGCTTATTGCAATTTTTTTTTCGTAGTTATTAATATCACTTTTAATTGGCTAAAATTTGATAACAGTTTGACAAATTTTCTTCACTTAATTAATCTACGTTTTAAATTATAGAAGTAAATAAACCTTATGTTAAATAAGTTTTACTCGAATAATGTTTACTTACTCTTGTTTCATTTGGTCCCTAAATTTTTATTGTTGATTAGAATGAATAGCGTTGCAAAGTTATAAACCATACCTTTCCAAAGTTGAGATACAATACTTATATGCAAATATATTTCAACTGTACAAGTTTATATAATAATTTTCAATTTAAGTTTATTAACTGCGTTTAGAATAACATATGTGTAGGAAAATTTTTTTATTTAAAAATACTGAATAAATAGCATAAAATGTCACAACATTCATGTATGCTTTTTCTTTATTTTTTAATTATTGTCAAAAACTTTACAGCTGATAGTATCACTAATATGTAAAAATTAAAAGTGCGAACATTTTCAGTAAAAAAACGATAAGATAGTTCATAGATAAATAAATGCAAAGGGCTTTAAAAATCAAATTTAAAGCCCTTTCCAAGACAGAAAAATATTTTATGAAATATTTTCAAATTTGCAAAAAAAGAGGATAAAGTAAGTACAGACGGAATTTCAGTTTTGTGCTTCATAAATAAAAATGTTAGTTAAAAAAATATGGTTCTTAAAGCTTGTTTGGTTTTACGATTTTAGTAGTTTCTGACAACTCTAAAGAATATGTGGGTTAGTTTTGATACCAAAGTTCCTGAAACGGTGTACAAAGACTTTAGAGATTATTTAGAAATAGTGTTTAGAAAAATCTAGTATTAAAAATTCCTTATTAATATACAAGATGTTCTATATCGGTATCACAAATTGGTTTCCCAAATTTATCGGTTTCACAAATTTAATATCGGTTTCACAAATTTAGTATCGGTTTCACAAATTTATGACAGAAAAACTGTTAATGTTAAGAATACAATTCTTGAGGGGAAAAAATGCAATAGGGGCATACATTTTTCTGCCAATCTTTATGATTTTAGTTCAAAATATCTTCAAATGAAAGGACGAAAACTAAATCAACGAATGTTGCTTTATGTGCTTAATTTTTTATGATGATTTCAGATGAAGATCGACATATCTAAAACATTGTAATGGAAATAATTCATTCAATTATTTCAAAATATCAAAATTTGAATTTCAAATATTTTTCTCTGATTTACACGTCTACTACGTGCAACGAAAAAATTTTGAACTAAAATCAGAAACTCTTGAAGAAAAAACACATGTTCTACCACATTCATTTGCTGAAAGTTAGAAAGTTTGTAACATATTTTATAGTTGTTTTCTAGTCTGACGTCGAAATCTGCATAGATTTTTCACGATTTTCACGAGATTTACGACCCTATATCAAAGAATATACACAGGGGAAGAAGGCTAGCTTCCGAAGACATAATGTAAACCAGTTCTCCAAGGTTCGGTGTGATCCCTTTGCATAAAAATAAAACAGTATTTTGGAGCACCCAGCAGAAGTACTTGAAACTGGTTTCCACCCTCCTCTCCTCCCGATCACTACTGCGGTTAGGGAGAAGATATTATTGGTTCATTTATTATTAATTTGTTCCGCATTTTATACTATTGTTAAATGGTACTGTATTATTATTCAAGATATTCCTTTTATAATACATTAATACAGAATACATGATAAATAAATATGCTAACACATTTTGACAAAGAAAAAAAGAATAAAATGGCGGTGCGAGTGGTGACGTATCCAACCATACATGTAGAGTTGCCAAACAACTGGTTCACAGGTGGCGTATAATTTGTCTAAAGTAAGAACTCCCCTAGCCATTCATCTGGACCATCGGCGGTGACTATGGTAACGAGATATAACTATTTCAAATAGGGGTGTGGGGTCATTGTTTGGGACAGGTTTTGGCTCTGATTGGCAAGAGAAAGGAACTGTTTTTCTTCGGTCTATTGTGTTACCATTAGTGTGAAGAGAAGCTACCCTCCCTGAAATGGGTTATTCTTGTTTCCATAGCAGCAGACGGTCTCAGACTTTGTGGCGGGGGGAATTCTTACCGTTGACAAACTACACCTCCTGACAGCCACTTTGCTTCGTAGCGCATGCGCTGGATCTTAGTACATATGATGCTCTGTTAAATCTGAATACGTTGCTCACCCTGTAAGTTGTTTTTCTGGTATAGCATACCAAACCAAGCAGTTTCCCGTGTTAGTGACATATTCTAAGAGCTGAACTCCACTTTTTTTATATTCTTTACCTATATGCTCTATGAATCCCATATGTTCTATATGATCCTCGAAATTCAGCGTTCGAAGTTTGAAACAACCTGTTTACATTCTTGTATGTAAGATTCTGTACATAAGTTCGAAGACTAGAGCAAAAAAGAAAGGTTTTATCTTCATATTGTTTTTTTAGAATAAAATAGGAAAACTAATGAAGAATTTATAAATAATATAATGAAGAAACTGGAACGAAACAGCGAATACCGTGTGATTAGTAGTATATAAGTCGGGATGCTTGAGTTTGCGAAGTCTCCGACGTTCTTCTTTAAGTATTGCATGCATTAGTTCTTCATCAGTTAGGGTTGAATTTTCCAGATCCTAAACGAAAAATAATCTCGAGTTACTGTTGTATAACTTTCGTGCATATGAGTAAGTATATGCGCATACTTTTGAAAAGTTATTTATATTCTTAAAATAAATCTTAGTTTCAAGGAAGAAAAAAAATTTAACTCTTATTGTGAAAGAAATGCTTAGTTATATGATTTAATAAAGTTAAAATAAAATCAATAATATTTATGAACTTTGGCTTTATGTGTTTTTCGAAATATTTGAAATTTAAGGATATGTTCTAGAATTATTTGTTGAATTTTTTGAAAGAAAATCATTTATTCTATTAATCCTTTGACACTGAATTTTTATTAAACCTATTTTTCATACTTTTATGATTATTTTGTTTTATTTTAGGTAAAAATAAATGAAAATATTACAGTTTGCATTTTAATAATTTATGGTTACGTAATACGGCATAAAACACTGGCTTCTATTTTTGCTTCAAAGGCAAAATCTTTCAAACACGGCTCTCTTATTCAAAAACAATAATTTTTCATATTTGCATTTCTTTGCAGCCATTTAGATCTAAAAGAAACAGCTATTTATAATTCAAATTTCTTTAATTTACGAAATCAATTATTGATAAATTTTGAATATGAATAAAGAAATTAATTTAAACAATTTGGGGAGATTTTATATTTTAGTACAAATATAACTAACCAAGTAACTATCAGGCTGTTTTTTATAATTAAAAAAATGCCAAAATACTTTTTTGCTTTTACTAAGAGCGTCAGAAAAAATGTATAAAATGTATATCTGCGTAAAAGGCCTTTTCCGAGTAAATAAATAAATTATTATTTTTTTGTAAGATCTATCCAAATAATTCAATTTAAGCTAAGACACTAACTCGAAATCAAATATCTTTCTAATTTTTTATTATTATAATTTTTAAAATTTGTTTAAATTCTCTCAATAAAATTTTTTCTTTACTTAACTTTCAGGAATTTGCGAGATCATGAATCTCGGAAAATATTCAACGTTAATCTACCTCCTAATATCTTACCATAAAAAATAAATGTCCAAATAAAAACTTCGATATTATTGTTATGGGACAAACAAATCACGATAAAGGCATCACGATTCACACAAGAACTGGCAAGCAAAACAAAGAAGATTCGAATTTACTCACATGTCTTCACGGCACGAATTCAATAACAGGTAAATATGTCCATCTGTTACTAGCTCATTTATGATTTTGTTTAGGTGTTCTGTTAAGATTATATGAAGTTAAGATTTTTAGATACCAACCATACGGGCACAAAGACGCAGAACGTAGGAGGCTCGACGCCCATAGAGTAAGGGTTGAGTCATATACTACTAAAGATACTTTTTCCGATTTTGCGATTCATACAGAAGAACCTACTCTTAATAATTGTCTCATTTTTTAAAGGCAATAACTGCCGCTCACAAATCCCCGTCTTTGGATTTTCATCTTGTAGATATCAATATAGGTTTCATCTCTCAATATAATTATTTTCATCAAAAACAAATGTAATTTAATTTATTTTACGATATTTCTGTTAATAAACATCATATCCTGAGAGTTGTTAAAGATCATATCCTGAGAGTTGTCAGACATCATATCCTAAGAGTTGTTAAACATCGTGTCCTGAGAACTGGTGAACATCATATTGTAAGAGTTGTTAAACATCATATCCTAGGAGTTGTTGAACATCATATCCTGAGAGTTGTTAAACATCATTTTTTAGGAGTAAAGTATGAGGTAGTATCACCCCCCCCCCCGCAGTTTACTCCCTCTTGAAACTAATTTTCATTTGCACTCGACAAAAAAGAGTGAGAGGATATAATGATTTATAGCCTAACCCCTTGAATAAAGATTAATATAGTTTTAAGGAAATAGGTGAATGAACTTCAGGGTGAATCTGCACCCAAATCGAACAGCAAGTGAACCTCTCAGCACTTAGGTTTGTGTAGACAAAATAATTTCATCTATAAGAAATAGCTCAGATGACTTTGTATATTAAAAAAATAAAAATAAATACAGTGCTCAAGTGTTTGATATTTTCACGATTGGAGCAGCAGCATTCATTTCCTAACTCTATATTTTAGCTTTACTTTCATTTCTGTCTATATACTATGAAACAATCTAGTTTTATTACTATATTTCATTAATGTTCAAATAGATTGATGGCAAGAATTAACAAATTTTGTTCCATATACTTGTCTATTTTTATTTTTCATACCTCTGAAGTAATTTTCAAGCCAGATCAGAAGATAAATATTAATGGAAAGTATTATGTAAGATAAATATTAAAGAAAACTCATCTTCAAGGACTTATCGTTAACTTCTGAAACAGCTTTTAAGAAATTAATCAGTATTTTCTTTACAACGAAGTGAGAAACAGTGAAAAGTAGCAGATTTTTTTTCATCAGCAATATCTCTCGATTTACTTATCAAAGACTTATCAGTAACTTCTGAGACAGCTTTTAAAAAATTAATCAGTATTTTCGTTACAATGAGAGCGAAACAATAAAAAGTAGAAAAATCCAACAGCCATATTTTTAGATTCAACAAGTGTTGAAGATAGTGCTTGCAGCTTAATGCTTACTGATTTTTTTTATTTACGATTGTTCAAAATTCTGTTCTATCCAAAAATAACTGAGGCGTGCTTAAATGCAACTATTTGCTTTTCTCACAAGTAGTGTACCCAGTCTTGATACTTTCTTTACCTGCTTTCTCATTTACTTTCAACCTTTTGCAAAATACCCCTCTATCTTCATATTAATCTGTACATATTCGACTCAGTTGACAGATATTCAAAGAGGAGAATTAATATCTAGTATTTTTATTATTCTATGTAACATTTCCAGGCAATTTTACAACCACATTGAATTTTCCAAAGTATCCATCTACTCATTGACTGTTCTGAAAAAGCATTTACAAAAAAAATTCCTTCTTGCTTAAAATATGATTTTTTTTCTTACTATTTTTTAAAGAAACCATACAATTGTTTTTTGAAACTTTCATGACAATTTTGTTTTCCATTCCAATTACGACCATTATTTTCTTTTAGTAATGCAATGTGTATAATAAAAACATAATTCGACTAGAATAATAAAAACAATCAAAATCATTTTTTGACTAAATGAGCAGTGAAAATAACAATTGTATTAAACATTGGCAACATTATAGCGGTCTTCTACTTTTTTTACTTTCATTTGTTATCTACTTTTACCAACTATTTTGACATCTATTTAAAAAATATAGTCGTTAAAAATATGCCAGGATCTAACAGAAGCAAAGAAGGGTTGAATTTTTGAATGATTGCTCTCTTCAGAGTTTACGTAACTATTGTCACCACAGCGATCACTGCGCCATCTTGCGTTACAGTTTGATGATACATAAATATTTAATGCATTTAAACAAGGACGAGCGATCTTATAAAATAAAAGTTCTTGGAGGAAATAAATTTTCATACTTCACCAGCAGCTAAGGTCAAAGTATAAAGTTAATAGTAGGAGAAATTTTGAGTAAAATGAAATTTAAACTGCAATAACTTTCAAACAAATTAAACTTTTGAAAATTCAATATCGATTTCACCAAACAAAAGAGTCGTTTTAGCACATAAAATTTCGATTTTTTTTTTAACTGTACAGCCGGCCAGATGTATTTTTTGCAGCAAATTCATTAATTAAAAATTCGAGAATTAATTATCGAATGTTTAAACTTTCCATTTTGTGGTAATTACGGTACTATTCTGTACATATTTTCATAATATCAGTGGATAAACGTACGATTTTTCAATATAAAGACAGTGAGATAATTCTATATTATTTTAAAAATGTATTATAAACATTATAAATATTATTTCTTTCTATAATACACTATAAACATCTTTATATAAGTCTGCTATTTTAATTTAAGTACCTTTAGAAGCCATATTTTAGAATTATTCAACAACGAAAAATTTAAAATATAGAAATAGAAACCAGAAAAAGTTTACACAATTGTTCTATATATAAATCCTTTATATTTTAGCAAATTTTTAAAGCTGTGTTCTATCAAAAGATTAAAAAAACTAAGTATTTCAGTTAACAAAGAAATATTAGGGAATTATGATCAGTTTATCATACAATACGGTTGTTTTAAGAAACTATCATGTGAGTTCATTGAGCTGTTGTGAACGGTCCTTCACCTATTTTTGTTATAAAACTATTCATATATATATTTAAGCAAGTGTTAAAATAGCAACAATTTTTTAAAAACGCTTAAATTGATTTAAATTTGCAAATTTTAATGTTTAAGATTGAAGATTCTCGAAAGCAAAAATTTGAACTATACCCATGGTACAAATTCAGTAGAAGTTGGATGTAATTGATATAGTTTTTGGCTTTCATTGGCGAGGATCATATTAAATAATTCTTCCTCTTCTAATTCAGATAATGAGACTGGCTCCTAAATGGAAAGAAATCTGTTTAAGTTCCTTAAAGTGAGTAGTGGAACAGAATATTAAATGATATTTAGTTTAGTTGAAACCGGCTTTAAAATCTACCGAAACAAAATATCTTTTAAACGCCTTATTTATAAACTAGGTTGATTAAATAAAATTTCTTCTATGCTTCCAAGTAACTATCTATGTTCTAAAAACGAAAAAATTTTACGTTTTTAAAATATTACTTAACAAAATTATCATTAATCTCTACAATTGCCAATAAAATTAAATAGTACGCTATTAATTAATTCAAAACTTATTTGGTTTCATAAACTTGAAAAAGATTGAACTATACTGTAAACAAATGATGTTGAAACAAATAGTGACCGCGAATGTATATCCTTTTTAAGTTTTTTCAAGTTTTATTTAAAGGTACGTATCTACTGTATAGGATATTTTTGATGTTGCAAATATTCTCATATCTCCAACTTGCAAGATATTAAAAATAAAATTCTTGAATTTCTTCGAAGTTTTTTGACAAAGCTTGATAAAAAGATTTTTAAAAACTTATTTTGCTGTAATGTGTCTTATTTTTTAGACCTTTCCATAAAAAAAATTATTTATCGTTTTGTACACTTTTCTGTTTCTAATGTGTTAATTCGTTGAAGTGTTAATTCGTCTTAAAATGATAACACGTTTGTTTCGTATTGCTTTTCGCCATTTTCGTAATGTTTCTCAAAACACCCATAGAAACATTAAATCTTTCCTTACGTTTATAATGTTTATAAAAACATTCTATAAACCTTTCAAATGCTTTTTGTTATGCTGTATGTTTATTTGGGTGTAAATTAATGAATTGAGAGAAAGTACTAAAAACTATTATTTGAAAAAAAGATTATTAATATTTTCACTTTTGTCCGCTTAACATATTTTACTTTATGATTTCCGAATAAGTAGCTTTAATTATATTGCAAATACTGGCTGTGCAATGTAACGAAACTTTTAATACTCATTAGGTAGTTTAGTTGCACAAATATTCTAGGTTTTTTTACATCGTTTTTTACATCGTTTTTACAATATTTTACATCGTTTTCAACTCCAACAGTTTGGATGATACGAAAGCTGTTATCTTGGAATTCTGATGAATCATAAAAAATTCTTCGCATGAATCCCATGTTTTTTTTTAATACGCAATTTATGTAATTGATTAAACTAGATCAAGACTTTATAATTTTGCAAAATAATGTTGTCCATAACAACTTTATAAAGACAAAGTTGATAATAATTCAACACCAAGCATTTGCTGAAGACTTTACCAAGTTTTAGGGTCACTTTTTGGGGCCTTTTTGAAAAGATTCTGATTATAATTGCTAAATATATATACCCTCTTTTAGAAAAAAAAACTTATTTAAATTCTTATTTCATAGCAAAAATTTTAGCAAAAGAAATAGATACGCCAAAAGCCAACGAAAAAATATCTTTTGTACTTTTTTCTCTCTAAATAATAGTACATTTATATAGGCAATCTATCAAAAGCTTGCTTTTTACAATTTAAAAATAGTTTATCTTTTTTCGGAAATATTGTGAAATGCATTGTATTAAAATTTTCTCAAAAAAATTTTCGTCCGTTAACAAACTAAAAAAAATTTAAAATGTGTAAAATAAAGGTAAGTATAATATTTCATAAATTTTATTTGCCTCCGGAAAAACCCAGCTTATAAAATTATGAACTTTGTTATGTTACATTCTGTCGTAATAGAAGCTAAACTTGCTTAATGTGTTACTCTAGTTCGCTGAAATTGCTTTCACATAATTATAGACATAAAACAAAATTCTGGTTTAATTACCGTGATGCATGGTAATGACATTTCTGGTTGAAAAAAAAAACAAATTTTTGACGTAAGGAACCAAAATAAACAGTTAGATAGTTTTTCCGCTCATATGATAATGGTTTATTGGAAATTTTAGTTTTTAAAATCATAATTTTTATTACCACGCATTCAGCAAAAAATACAAATCTGACAAGGAAATTTTACTGAATAAATAGTTTTCATGACTTACTCTAAGATATCATGAGAAAATTAAACATTTTGCCTAATTTACAAAGTTTAATCGCATATTATAAAAACCATATTTTATTGTTATTTTTACTGAAATTCCTACCACAGCTTTTCGCCAAAAATTACCGAGCTTTTTGATGTTTCCAAAGAGCCAGAAGCACGCTTAACATATTTTAACATGTTTTGGCAATTTTAACAGTACTTTTTTTTCTCAGATGGTTATTTCTTTTTTATTATCTATCACCAACAATATATAATTTGATATATTTGTTTATGAATTAAGTATCAATATTAAAAACAATTTTGATTTAAATACTAAATAAATATTTCAAAAAGTGATATGCAATTGGAATGGAATCCATATAATTTCCTATACTCTCGTTCGTTAAGAAATTTTTTGGATCGAATTTTCATGGCTAAATAAAATAAAAGTAAATAATGAACCATCGGTATGTAGTCAGTGGAAGTTAGATGTAATTTGCTTGATTTTTTACTATTATTCACAAGTATTACTCTTATTTAATCAGACTTCAGTTCTTTAGCATATCACCAACATATGAAATTTAATATTTATTTATTTATTGTATATCTAAAAGAAAAAAAAATTAAAATAACCGCAAAATAAGCATAAAAAAATAATAATATATCAATAAAATACAATTCGTACACTGAGATAAAAAGTATGGTCAAAACTACTTGAATATGATAAAATGTATAGTATTTTGTCTCAATGAGAACACCAAAAATCTCCGTAATTTTTACCTAAACGCTTTGGTAGTGATTTCGGTAAATTTAACAATAAAATATAGTTTCATAATTGGTAATAAAATTTGGTTAATGTGGAAAATTTGGCAATTTTATCATGATGCCTTAGAGCATGTCATAAAAACCATTCCTTCGGTTAAATTTACTTTTCAATTTTATATTTTTTTCTATCTGTGTGGTAATCAGGACTGTAATTTTAAAAACTAGAATTTCCAGTAAATCGTTATCATACTAACTTAATTGTCAGATGACACCTTTAAATAGTGTTGGTTTTGTTTACCAGAATTATGATGTTTTTTTTTAACCATAACTATAATTACCATACAGTACGGTGAGTTTACTAGAATATTTTCCCTTTGTATAGTGTTTTACTTCATCATCAGTTCAGTTCATCATTTCTTTTTTTTAATTGAGTATCTAAATGTAATACAATGAGGGAATTTAAAAATTGATATTTTATATTTATTAAATATCTACCCAAAATAAATTTTATTTTAGTAACTAAATGGAAAAGATAATAAATAATATACCGTTGGTATATGTTCAGTGGAAGTTGGGTGCGTTTCATTTAATTTTTTACTCTCGTTTTCCAGAATTATTTCCTTAAGTTCTTCGTCAGATAAAGTGCTGTTTTCTAAAACCTAAATAAAATATAAAACTTTCGTCGGTGAAATAAGATACCTACTTTTCTTAAATAGTTTTAAAAAAGAGATGAAGTAACTTTAATGTGACATTAAGTATCTAAACAATAAAAGAAAAATATTTTCTTAGATATTTAAATAATGACTCGGAACTTCTAAATATTAGTTCCTCATAGATCTTTAAGTTACATACAATTAAAATCGACATAAAAGTAAATTTCCTAAAATATGTTTAAATTTCAGAAATTTTCGCAGCTTAAGAAATTTGTATATATATATATATAGTAANACTTTCGTCGGTGAAATAAGATACCTACTTTTCTTAAATAGTTTTAAAAAAGAGATGAAGTAGCTTTAATTTAACATTAAGTATCTGAAGAATATAAAAATATATTAGTTTTTTAGATATTTAAATAATTACTCGGAACTTCTAAATATTAGTTCCCGCTAGGTCTTTAAGTTACATACAATTAAAATTAACATAAAAGTAAATTTCTCAAAATATGGTAAATTTTAGAAGTTTTAACAGATTAAGAAATTTGTACATAAGTAAATATGATTAGGAAACAATAGATATGTGTTTTTAGCCTTGAAAATTTCGAATTATAAAAAAAATGGCATTATTTTGGAAAAATCATTTTTGCAAATTAAAACTACATATATATATTAGTTAAAGTAATATATAACCATAAAAATATTTTTAGTGAAGTACTACAGGTTTTATTTAAAAATTAAATACAGGATTTTCGGAAAGTAATTTTGAAATTCGTGAAATTAGAAAAGTAATTCCAAATTTAGAAAAGTGCGAAATTAGAAAAGTAATTTCGAATTTTTCCTTTAATTACGATTTTCTAATAGCGAATGGTAATTTTGTTTTATACATTATCCGTTCTGGTCCAATACCTCTTACTATATTTTTGGCAGCATGATTCCATACTTTTGTTCTTTGCTGACAAAACAAACTTGATTAAGGTGATTTTTGGCCTCCTCTTTTGAAGTAAAAGTTTTACCATCTAAACAAATTTGATAGAGAGCGGTACATTCACAATCCATTTCTTGTCTCCTTGATGATGCACTTCAAAAATTGATCATTTTCTTTACGTTTTATAAGCAGATCTCATAGACGTCAACCCGACGGCACAAAATTCTTTCTTTAAGATCATGTGGAGCCCAAATGTCGAGCTTTGTGTTTAAACCGAAGCGTCTCAAATCATCATGAACTGTCGAATGTGATCAATTTAGTGTCTCACAGATCTTATAAGTTATTAGCCAGAGTGCATCAATTAATGCCTTCATTGCGCCCTCATCAACTTTAACTGGATTTTCAGTACGTCTAACAGAGCGTTTTACAGAATGGCGATCATAAACGTTAAAAGCTGATGGGCATCATCAACTGTCCTTTCAGAACGTCCTTAAAACATTTTACAGAACGGCGATCTTATTAGTTCTTAGCCTATGTGCTAGATTAATGCATTTATCACGCTTTCATCATCTGTGACTGGTTTTCCAGAATGTGGCGCATCATCATCAAAATTGACAGATCTAAATTTTTCAAATTAGTTTTGGCAGTGGCATACTGTTAACGCATCTTCTCTAAACACATCGCACATCCTTTTTTTCTGCTGGAAAGTATTTCACCTTTGCGATGGCAAAAAAGCAAAATGTGTCGACAATTTTGCGCTTCACTTTTCATATTTGAACGGGATATAATTATTTATCAACTGTCACCAGCTGTTAGTATTATTTTATGAGTTGTCAAAATACGGTAATGATTATATGGCTTGAGTGTGAAGTTGGCCTTGAAGAAATACAATAAAGTCCTCTGTTGAGAAAAAACGATATTACTTTCTGAAAAAGCCGGGAATTCCAAAACTTTTGCATAAAACATTTACACTCATACCTTTCTTATAATCTTCCGATCCTAAGTTTACCAACGTCTGGAAAAATTTGAATAGTGTAACCGCAAACTTCTTTGATCATGATTAGATCGAGATTTTTGTTTTTATAATTGCCTCTTAACGATCGGTTAATTTTCAAGAAAACGATCATAAAAGTGCCTATTTTGCCAAATACACGTATTTGATTAGTGCTGACATCTAGTTTAAAATAAACTAACTATCTACAATTACCTAAAAAATATCCTGGTACTGCCATCTGGTGTGTAAAATGAGAAATAAAATGTTTTCCGAGCAAAAGAAATGAATTAGTTTTTTTCTTATTGGCGCGTTGCTACTGAACACTTCAGCCCGAAAATTTCACGGGAGCGAGAAATAGAGGGCGAAACCTCACCCCGTCATTTTCACGGAAGCGTGAAGGAAGGGTTTTAAAAAGAAGCAAACATTCCTCCCACTGTATTTAAAGAAAGCTCTGTAGCCTTATTTATTTTTAAAAAAACTCACAAACTCGAAAATGAAATCAAATTTCGAGGAATTTTTTTTAATGAATTTCATTTTGATTAACAATAACAACATTTTTGCTACAATTAGAGCAAAATCTCGTAAATGCCACAACATACAACAGAATGAATATTACTCCAAATCAGTAATCATCAACTCTTTTATACTTAAGGATGACTAAATGCCTATGAAATACTGCCCGGATGAAATACTTTATTACATAGGCCTCTATGCAGTTTCGTAAGCTTAGTAATATATTTATGAAATTAGCAAATTATAATAATAAGTAAAAATAAATATGGAACCAAAAATATTGTTGTTGCACTTCCAGCAGTAGATAATTAGGAAAAAATAGTCTTATTATAGCTTCAATATGCAATATGGAAAAGCATCACTTATTTCTTTGAAATATGTTTAATAAGAATCTTCACATTTAATTATCATTAAAGCATATTTTTAATACCTTGCAAAGCCACGTTTTATTATTTTTTTATTTTATTCTCCAACCAGCTACTACCGTGGGTGACACTAAGGGTGTTGAAGAAACAATTTAATGCAATAGTCTTAAGCCCTGACCCTGATGTCATTATCAGAATCAGGGTCAAGCTCTTGTTCCGATCAGTTGCTCAGTTTTCGATGAGAAATGTGAGTTGTGTTTCTCTTTTGATCTCTGGAACTCACCATGATTCCGTACTCTCTAGCACAGGGATGGCGAACCAATGGCACGCGTGCCATTTATGACACGCGACACAATACTTTTGGCGCGCCACCAATCACAATTGTTATCGCACTATGAATTGTTATTACACAAATGTCACACACTATGAAGCATATGTAACAATTAAATTAAAATTCACAAAAAACAAACAAAATAATAAACAATTAACAAAAAAATTAACAATTAATGTTAAAAGAACAATTAATAACCATAAAAAACAAACTAACAATAAATAACTAGCAAAAAAATCAACAGTCCAGCTTAAACTAATATCTTACAACCTAATATAAGTTATTTGTCACTTAATCTGCAATAACAGAAGTCCCACTGATGCTACTTTAAGTTGAATTACGCGTATGACTGAAACATTGCAAAATGTATTTTCTTTTCAATGTAAATAAAGAGTTTTGAGTTGATAGTGTTTAGTATTATTATTTTCCCAATAATCATGAAGTCAAAATTATTTGACGGCACGTCTGTGATTTCATTTAACAATTTTTTAGAAAAAATGGCGCGTTGGTGTATAAAGGTTCACCACCCCTGCAGCATTACGATTGACTCACCATAATTCAGAATTTAAAGAACCATTACTTTAGCATTTTCGAAAGAGATTGTAACTAGTTATTATCTATTTTTTTGCTAATAATCACCACCTTCTCAGTTTGGATACCTATACCTAAAACTTCGTTGTATTTAATTATTTATGTAATCATAATTATTTTTTTATGTAACTAAATTAAGATAATTCAATAATTTATTTAAGATTTTACTTTTTTAAATTTAACATGATAGTTTTTTTAAAGTTATGCAGATTAAATAACTAAATTAGTTTCTGAGGAAAATAAAATTTGCTTAGGCTATAATATGATTTTACAGTTACATCTTTTGGAGCTATTTTTTTTTTAAATTTTCTATATCTAGGTCAACTCTTTTTTTTTTCTCAAAATAAATCAATTAGAATAATCCAAACAATAAGTGTACCATTATCGCGATATTGCCGTTCCCTGGATCAGTGATGTTGAGTAATTTTTGCCTTTCAGAAATAGAACTTGCATTCATTAATTCTTCAGCTAGTAAGCTTGATTCATTTAATACCTACATAAGAAAAATTAATGGAAATGTTTGAATGAATAAAATTTCTTTACAATCCTTCAAGTTATTCAATAATTTATTTAAAAAAAAATAAAAACTTAGTCTGATTTTATTTTTACTTGATTAAAATTAAATTATTTTATTTAAATGGGAGCTTTATTTTATAGAAATTTCCTTAAATTACATAAGATGTATGATGTTTTAGATTTCTCATTTAGATTTAATTGAACTTTCCTAGCAAATAAAGCTAAACGTTATGCAGGAGTCCTTGATGTTTAGTGAATCTGAATAAATAGCATACGAAGGCTCAAAATACCTGTTTTTATTTTTTAGCTTCATACCCTAAAAGGGTTCGATATTATTTAGAATTAGGAAACTTTAAGTAAATTTTTTTCAATTCTCAATTCATAATCTTTTTTTTCGGCTATTTTTATTAAATAAAAAGTCATTACAAATCATGAAAACTCATTACAAATCAAAAGATATGAATTCAGCTACGTAAACAAGTAGTGTAAAAAAAAATTAAAGTCAATTCAAACTTAGGTCAATAAGGAAATTTTTTATTTTAGTTACTTTTTATTAAATAATTAAAATTTTTCTCCCGTATGAAAATAAATTAATTCATTAAATTTAATTCATGAATTAATATTTGAAACAACTGTATTAAAACATCAAGTATCATCCACTACAAGTTTACAAAATATTTTTGAACTTGAGTTTATGAATTAAAAGTATTTTATTAATGATTGAAAATTTGAACAAGATATAGGGTGAGTGTGAACTAATAGTAAGAA